GCTAAATGTTGTTTCACCTCAAAGTCAAGTTTGAAGTCTTTTTCTTCATACATGCGTCCTACACACCCCCACTGACATCTGTGATGTTACAAATGCTTTATTGAACAATATATTCACAATATAAATAACAAGTAGTAATAGCTGCGGACCAGTCTCTTTTCATATTACACTCTAATATTACTCTCCTATTGGAGGACCTCAGCCTGTAACTTCCGCTGTGTACTCAGTCCCCGACTCCCTGATTCAGCCATTCAGCTTAATAGGATGACGTTAGCATGTTTTGCACTGTCTGTTGCGTTATCTGTGCTTACTTGTGGCTTACCAATAAAGTTATGACAAAACTCACACCTTAAGAGCAATTTCGAATGGTAGCCTGTACCAGATGAACTGCAACACAGTCCAATATTAATAGCCACTGATTCATCATATCACAAAAAATTTGCAAATTAGGCAGTGTATAGATTCGAAGTCCCTTCTTTTTTGGAAAAAATGCAGAACTGATGGTAGTGAATGCTAACGTAGCGTAGCCATTTCATTCACAGATGAGTGTGTTCCTGCTGTCCACTCGAGATCAGTGGGTGAACTGATGTGCAAAGCATTAACCATTTAACTAGTCTGACAGTGACCTACATTCACTTGGTTTATTACATTTATTTGATTCAGAACCTGTTATTTTGTGGGGCACTGTGTGTGTGTCATTTTGCCCTTTGCCCCAGTTATTTCTGGTTAATAATAATATGATGAGACAGCAAGTGTAACAACCTCAAGCACACATGACCGCTTGAGCAGACTAACGCGCATACCTCAAAAAACAGGTCAGCACTTTTGTCACATCATAAGACACACAGTCAGAAGTCTTAAGTAATATCCACTGCAGAAATCAGACTTAAAACCACTCAAAATACACAATTCAATACACTATATATGCAAGAATATGTTTATATTACAAGATTAATGTTCTGTTTGCTTGGAAACAAACATAATGTAGTTATTTTCAACTTACAAACTCAGACATGCCTATTACAGTCACTCATACTTAATAATGCCCTACACTCCTGGTATTACTGCATGTAATCCATCAGGTTATTTCACGGGAGGTTCATAGCACATGCATTAAAAACTATTCTAAGGAAATAAACGAGGGCTTTCGACACACTGAATGGAATACAAAGTTGACAACCTCTGAATAATGAGTGCTGTGGCAGAAATAAGATAAGACCTACAGAACCAACATTTCTGTATACCATGTTAATCAAACTAAGATAACACAGACTCAAGCACACCTGATATGTTTGGTTTAATTTCCTCTCTATCATGACCTTTATATTTACTATAGCAGACAAGGTGACAAGGCTGCTAATGACAGGCCGGACCTGAGCTAGTAGTAGTCAAGCGTCGAACCACAAATACGACATCATTCAATAGTTAGAAAGCTTGCAACACCATAAAAAACAATTTTGTTTGGGATAAATGTGTAAACGATAAGTGCAAACCTATAAATGAATGAATAAATAAATAAATAGAAATTGCTAATGTGTCCAGGTTTAAAAGTGTAGCAAATTTTAAGAAAAAAATTAAATGAAAATCATATTGACAATGAGAACATGTGTATCATTACACCCTTAGTCCAGAATGATTCTAAGAAGAAACATGAATGAAGTTATAATAATTACAGTGCATTTTGAATAAAATAAACGGTCCCCTGTAGATTATCTTCAGATGTTCAGATTGTTAACAAACTATCTGTTGAAACTCAGTTGATTCTAAACAGTGGTGGGGTTAAGGTTAGGATTTGGACCAGGGTTTAGGTTTTGGGTTGAGGTTAAAGTTAGGATTAGAGTCAGGTTTAGATTTAAATTTTTAAAGAAAATTATGGTCAATTTAGTAGATATTTAGTTGAATGTAACTTGAAAGTAAATTATCTACAAAGCATCTAAAGTGGACTATCCAAATGTCTTTCAGACAGTTAATCAAACCTTAAAGCATCTGTAAACAGTATAATTACCGGTGTGACAAGACACATATTTTCTGGTCTGTAACAATTTTCTATCCTGAGGTCACAGTTCAACTTGATTATCAATATTTTATGAGCTAAAGTGTTTTGATTTGATCTAATTATACAATACACATTTTATTTGAGAATAAGAGACTGCTAAGCAGCATGTCTGCAAAATAGTGATCTGATTAAACAGTGCTACTGAGCTTCAGTGCTATATTTAAATTGTCACACCATCATTATGCATTGTTTATAACTGCAGTTACCTTATATTATTTGTCATTGAATAACATCTGGTTATTCTCACAATACATTAAACACTACATAAAACATATAAAACTATCTATTGGGGTCTTGCTATATGTATATTATTTACAACTACAGCACATTACAGAAGCTATTGTGCATAAAATAATAAAAATCATTAATATTATAAGTAATTCCAAACTTTTGAAACCAAGTATGTATTGCAGAATGTCTTATCTTAGCACAGCCAATAGTCAATTCCTGGAAAACAGACCCTTTGCGCATCATTTGGGTAACCAATAAGCAATGCCTGGAAAGTCACTCCAGTGTGGAAAACGTCATCATTCTTGGCACCAATGTATCACCTTCACCAGTACAAACACCTCAGCACACTCATAAGGCTTTTCAAGACATGCCAGTTCAGACCAGTCTATCTCTCTCTGCTATTAATACTCAGTGATAAGGGCTTTTTGCTTCCCGAGCGGCATTTCTTTTTATGGGCAAAAAGAGCTTCATGCCATTGAGTCCAGCTCATCCACAGAGGTGAGATGGGTCAATCGGAGCTTCCTTATCACTACTGTGGCTAGATACAACTGTGGCTATGTTTTTCTTTTTTATTATCTCAACAGCACCACGCACAGCATTCACATGTCCCCCTACACTGGTCTCAGTGACTTGTGGTGGAAGAAAAAGTGCTCACTTAGCTCCAAGACCTGCTCAATTGGGCAAAGTCTAGTGTCTGGTGAAACTAGGCACTGCCAACTCAGCTGAAGACCAGAAGAGTCAGCACTGAGAACTTCCCGTCCCTCTTGATCTCATATATCGTCTGAAGAACAGAGGAACGTGGACTACGGACACCTTCAACCTTTGAGCAGCACCTTATCACCTGCAGACCTGATAACAGTGCAAAAATGTAATGACGCTTCATTCACGTGACGTTTCACCTTTAGGGCAACGATCTCAAGGACAGAAAGGGACACATATTACCTCTCACCTTCCATCTGCCATAAGAAAAGTACAAAAACATGTTTGCTCATTCATATGTCACTCTATTGAGTCCTAGTAATGAAGGCCAAATATTGCAGGAGAAGAAAACAGGAAATTCCATAAATTTTACAAAATTTCTGCATAATTAAATCATTGAGTTGTAACCAAAGTCATTCAGAGTGGTTTGATGTGAAATCATCGGTTGTAAAGAAACTTGGTGAGTCAGCATTGTTCACAGTGGTGGTGATAGGAACCAGACATCCACAGTGCTTAAAGCCTCTAAAAGCTACATCACAGAAATGTATTATATGAAATGGTTGTGAATAAGCTGCCTGATGCCGGAGGTATTGTTTTACAATAGTTTTGGCCCAAAACATATTATTTAAAAGCCATTCATGACGGAGAGGTACATGAAGTGTGTTCTAGAGCAAAATAGTCCCCAAAGGAAACTTTTGTTTTCCAGTTATGTGCAGGTTGATTGGTCATTTTGGACAGAAAATAAAATCCAAGTTGATAAGTTTCTCTACAATGCATTTTCACATCAAATCACTCTGAATGACTTTCTCAATCAACTCTACCACTGAATTATGAAGGATTCTTTGACAAAACTGTGTTCAGAATTCCCCTGTTATGTAATAAGATTTTATTCCAAGTCATTTTGGATCATTGGTCCACTGGTCCAAACGTTCGCACAAGGTACAGGGTACAGCAAGTTACTGCTGACACTTCCAAATTGCATAAAAAGAAAAAAAAACATTTTGATAAAACAGAGACAAAACTGAAGCTGGAAACTTTTGAAAAACAGAGCATGATTTCAAACGAAAGACTTCCATTTACTCTGCAGTTACAACCCACTTATAAAGATCATAATCAGCTATAAATTAATCTGGCTCATTTAGTTATTCCTGAACAAGCCTTTCAAAAGGCCTAGCTGGGCAGGTACTCATAAAAAATTGTTCAAAACGAAGAGTTTTTAAATAGCAACAGCATACGGACCAAACAGAGAGACCAAAGGCTCAAAATGTCCTGTCTTATTCAGAACATGACATTAAATCTAGTCTCTCTCTAATATCACGTGCAGCTCCCTCACCATACATTTCAATTAGACTATGTAATGCCACAGATAACTGAACATTAAAATAACCCAGCAGCATTTCAACCATATCCTTCTGTCTTACTGTGAAACCGTGCTCGTTCCCAGCTTTTATGAATTCTCTGTAAAGATTAAAGCTAAAAAAGCTGGTACGGCATCAGCACACTGAGATAACTTCAGACGGGAAATGAAAGCCAGAGACAAAGAGGGATCACTTCCCTTTTCCTACCGACTGCCAGCCCTTCTGACACATCAGACGGAGATCACTTGACCGAAAAACACGAACACTCACAGCAGCTGTTAAAACACACTCTCATTAAATGCCAGATGATGCCGATGAATCAAATATCTTGAGATACTATTAAGAACTGCAATCTCAAAACGCACAGCAGATCAGAAGTAGCAGAGGAACACGACTGATAATTACTAGTTTCAGAACGATTTTGGTAAGCAGTGGGGGTTTCCTATTCCAAAAATAGTCTAACATCAGAAGGGATGGTTTTGCCCGAAATTCAAAGACCATCCCTGACCACAAAGCACACACTGAGGGAGCATCCAAGCCCTTGAGTCACATATGTGGCAAACTTCCTAGAAAATGAACGGTATTGATGGTTGTCATTGGCAAATCTGTACACTGGCAATGAACGTAGCCTGGATTTCCTGGAAAAGTGAACTTACCCCACCAGACGAGATGACAGGATCCACAAGTTCGTGATCCAAAACAGCAGGCCCCAAGGTCCGAGACGGTCGAAGGAAACAAGCAACATGTTCAGTACAAAAAACACACATAAGGCAGACGTAGCTGAAAGAATTTGATCTCTGCATTTTTACAAACTAGCATAAAAGGACATGAACCTGAACAGTAAGCTCACACATTCAAGCACATTCTGCTATATTTGTGACTGCATCTGGATGCTTAAAGGGTAGTTCCACCAATTTTTCAAAATTTCTGAATAGTTCAGTCCTTGTACACAGAGTCATTCAGAGTAGTTTGATGTTAAATGGTTAATAGTAGAGAAACTTACAGACTCTGATTTCTTTACAGTGGTGCTGATAGGAACCAGGGGTCACAATGTCTACAACACAAATATAGCCATTTATTTACTATCTAAACCACCAATTAATCTACACATCTTTTGACTTTTTATATGTAATGTTGATGGTGGTAGAAATAGTGGTAAATCTGAAAAAAAAAAATTTCTTTGGGGACTATTTTGCCTTACAATGTCCTGCATGTGTCCCTCTGCATTGACTGGATTAAAAGAAATAGATTAAAACATATTTTAAGCCAAACTTTTATCACTAAACTATCATTAAACAATGTTTCAGACATCAGGCTGAGAATTCATAACCATTTCATGTAATGACTTTCTATGAGGGAGCTTTTAGAGGCATTAAACTCTTCCGACGTCTGGTTCCTATCAGCACCACTGTGAACAATCCTGACTCGGTAAGTTTCTCTAGAACGAAGCATTTCACACCAAACCACTCGGAATGACTCTGTTTACATCTCAAACATTTAACTTCGCAGAATTTTTGAAAATTGGTGGAGTTCCCCTTTATATCGTACACTCTGTAGCTTTAGCAATACATTTCAGTTCAGCTCCCAAAAAGATAAAGGGAAGAAGCGGCTAACAGACTTCAGCTCCTTTGCTGGCAGATGCTGGATGTGCAATTTGGTAGTTTGGTAGATACTTTTACTTCTACTTTAGAGGTTCTCTCACTGCAGAAACAACACTTTGACCTCAGCACTGTTCTAGACTATGTCCCTCTCCTGCAGAAATAACTGTTCTATTCACACAAGGCTGAAGTCAGCTTCCTATTCGCCAGCCTCTTGTTCTAATTTTCCCGTTCCACCTTAAAATGCTGCAGCAGTTACATTCTGGTGCTTGTAACTGCTGCAGCATTTAAGGTGGAACGAAAAATTCGGACAGAAGCTGCGAAAAAGAAGCTGACTTCAGCCTCAGCTTCGTTCTCTTTACTGTGTTGTTTACATTTCCACACGGAACTTAGCAGAGTTAGAAGTTCGTTATAAATACGTCCAAAGTTCGTTATAATAACATCACCTGGCTTCGCTTCGCAGAGGGTCCCGCTCACAAGTGTCAGCGCTGAAAAACAGAAACTGCACCCACCACCGAGCGCTTCTTGCACTTTCTCCTCGTTTCGTTCACCTGAGCAGAGTCCAGCTTTGATCCTCAGGCACACAGGCTTCCTTCTCGGGCGGAACTTTAAAGCCACGCCCACTCATCAGCTCCCTTCAACGCCATTGGCTGCTGGAGAGACGCAACGTGTCTTTGAACCGCCTTAAATCTTAATCTCGCCCACAAGATGGACCGCACAGATGGCGCCCTTTGTAAGGTCGCGTCCCAATAGGAGCACTTGGTGTGTTCTAAAGCGTACTCGCTTTCTACAGCGCACGTGTTCTAGAGCCCTTGGCTAATGAGTAGAAATGTGGCCTTCCTCTGTGGGCCGTTGTAGAACACAAGATCACATGTATAACACAGCCGGCGGCCACAGTTCAGCGCACTACCTTAGTGTTCTAGAAAGGGAGTAAGCATATTGGGACGCGGCCTAAGACGTTTCGCCACCTATTGGACGCGAACAGAAGGAAACCGACAACACATCAACAAGATGTGATTTTATTGAAACGGTACAAATATAGACACACTAAAACGCCACTATCTCTTATGATGATGGAGTTTGTTGTGAATTAAATAATAGTTTAAAATAGTTTTTCGGAACGCACTGTGGCAAATGAGTAATACTGAGAGGAATAGTAGAGTGTCGTAGTACAACCCCGTTTCCAAAAAAGTTGGGACGCTATGCAAAATGCAAAATGCAAAAAAACAAAAAAAAACAAAAAAAAACAGAATGCAGTGATGAGCAAATCATTTAAACCCTATATTGAATTGAAAATAGTACAAAGACAGCGTATCAAATGTTGAAACTTAGAAAGTGTATTTTTTTTTAAAATATATGCCCATTTTGATTTTGATGCCGTCAACATGTTTCAAAAAAGTTGGGACGGGGGCATGTTTACCACTGTGTTGCATCACCCCTTCTTTAACAACACTCTGTAAGTGTTTGGGAGCGTTGGGAGTTTTGAAAGTGAAGTGTTTTCACATTCTCACTTGATACAGGATTTCAGCTGCTCAAAGGTCTCTTTTGTCATATTTTACATTTCATAATGCACCAGGCCAGTTTAGCACCTGGACTCTTTTAGTACAGAGCAATGCTGTTGTAATACATGAAGAATGCGGTTTGACATTGTCTTGTTGAAAAAAGCAAGGCCTTTCCTGAAAAAGACATTGTCTGGATGGCAGCGTATGTTGCTCCAGAACCGGTATATATACGTATATCATTCAGCGATAATGGTGCCTTCACAGATGTGCAGCTCAACCATTCCATGTGCACTAATGCACCCCATACCATCATGCATGCTTGCTGGCTTTTGAGCTGTGTACTGATAACAAGCTGGATGGTCACTCTCCTTTTTAGCCTGGAGGACACAGTGTCCATGATTTCCAAAACGAATCTCAAATTTTGATTCATCAGATCACATGGATACTTTTCCATTTTGCCTCAGTCCATGTTAAATGAGCTCGGGCCCAGAGAAGACGGCGGCGTTGTTCACACAATGGTTTTCAGAAGTATTCTTGAGCTCATGCAATGATTTCCATTATAGAATCGTGTCTGTTTTTAATGCAGTTCCACCTGCAGGCCCAAAGATCGCAGCCAGCCAATATTGGTTTTTGGTCTTGTCCTTGCACACAGAGATTTCTCCAGATTCTCTGAATCTTTTATTGATATTACTTAATGACTAGTTTTTGCTTTTTTATGTTGTGAAATGTTATTTTTGATTTGTTGCACTAATTGCCTGCTCAGTCTTTTGCAGAGTTTTGAAACCCTCCCCATCCTAACTTCTGAAGGACTCAGCTTCTCTGAGATCCTCTTTTTTTACCCAATCATGTTACTGAACAGTTGCCAATTAACCTAATTAGTTGTGTATGTTTCACCAGGTGTTTTTTATAATTACACAACTTTAGCAGTCTTTTGTTGCCCCCATCCTAACTTCTTTGAAATGTGTTACTGGCATCAAAATCAAAATGGACATGTATTTTTTTCAAAAAACAATAAACTGTCTCAGTTTCAACATTTGATATTTTTAACTGTTTAACTCTTATTCGCACATCATTGCATTCTGTTTTTATTTACATTTGCACAGTGTCTCAACTTTTTTAGAAACAGGGTTGTAATATAGCTTCTGTCTCTTTTTTCTGGAAATAAATGAGAAATTTTAATACGTGTATGTATGTGTAAAATAGTATAGACTTACAAAAGTTAATCGACAGTGAATGCATATTAGTAAACACTGTGAATAGCAGAGATCTCATTCACCAGCTCATTATTTGAAAAATAAAATGAAATCATTTTCAAGACAATTCCACAAAAAATTTGAATAAGAATCTAATGAGAAGCCAACTTCATCCTCATAATGATTCAACATCATGATAAAAGCAGACTAAACGTTGATTCATCCATTAGTGGCAAAAGTCCCAAAAATCTGTCCTCTTGCTCAAACAGAGACAGGCCTACTAATGCTCTGATAAGACGGAAAGTCCCTTAGAATTCAACCAAAGTGAAAGTATAAAAGCTCCTCAATTTAAATCCAGTCATGCATCAAATCCTGTAAAAGTCTGCTTTAACCAGGGAATAAAATTTCAGTTGGAATACAGAAATGCTGCACTTCTGCTATAACTCATTTCAGTCAAAATATTACATGACAAAATCTCCAAACTTTTACATTTACATGGGTTCTGCTCTCATGTAGCAAAATAGCAGAAAATACATTGCACAACTGTCGTTACTATATTATTAAATCTGATTAAGAACAGTAATAAAGTAGATGTGCTCAGTTCTTTACATCCCACAATTAATTCAACTGAAAGAATCCCTACTCCCTCTAAAGTGCACAGCATAGGTCATGAAATACATGCTCTAAATGTTAGACAGGGAGTCGTGCAGCTTTGGCTGAATATAAATGACTTTATTTTGACATATAATACACTATTGGGGTATATATGCAGTTATTTATGTCCTACATAGTGCACTATGTAGGGAATAGGTGGCCATTTGAGATTCACCCTTAGTGTAAAACTGTACTACTGCTCATCACCACCAGGTGTCAGTATAGACTAGAGCAAGAGAATAAAGCAATGCGTAGTTAGAACATTAAAGGCAACAACACTGAAATGAATAAACAGAAATAAATTTGAATCCTATTCTTTTTATTGTTTTAACTATTAACTCTTGATCAGTGACACTTGTATATGACATTGTTAGGACGTACACTCAAAATCCCAAAGCAAAACAAGAAGTTTTCTCTAAGAACAAAAAAAGCTAAATGTTTTCATTTATGGCCTTCATTGTTTGCAAGCCCGGTGACACCTGAGAATTCAGCTCTAGCACTTATTGCTGTTTGATTATACAACAATATCCAGGTACTAAGTGTGAAACGGAAAACACATGAGGTTGCATAATTATAGGCTGTACATCAAAAAGAGAACATGAAAGATAGTAACCCACAGTTTTTGACTATCTACTGTAAAGAGATATTCCATTCAAACCCCAAGAGTGTCATCTGTGCAACAAAAGTAGGTGAAACGTCCAGGAAAACACATCAATAAACTCTGTTAGGTTAAACTGTTCATGGATTATTAATTGTTCGTTAATTATTACATTTAAAATTACTCAACAGGCAACACTACTTCCGTGTAAGACAAAAGAGCATATAACAGATCATAGAAAGGCACAAGAACGACTTGTTTCTACTCTTGGAGTAATCTACTGACTGCAACCTCGCACAAAAATGTGACAAGCTCCTCTGGATTGAGGCTCCAGTGTCTTATACACCTTCTTCAAATATACTTATATGTACTTAGGAGTGTTGAGTTCTGTACAAACGTTATCAAAATTTTCGCTTGAATATGCTACAGGCTCACTGACAATAGTGTCCACACCCTGGTAACGCATGAAAATGGCTAATGGTTTCTAAGCCTGAACAGTTAAAGACTAGATCTTGCTTTCATGGCTCCTCCTGCCTTTTAGAGATTTGCCTTTGGCTCCACATCTGCATCGCTTGCACAAGAGTTTGATGGCACAACATCTATCTGAAGTTGTGCGAGAGAGTTACAGGGGAGGGTTTGCGCACTCATGACACGCCCCTCCCTATGCATCACTGCCTCTCCAGGTCCTGTTTCCGGTGCCCCATCTGGGGCCTCGAACGAATCTCCTCCCAGCTCAGCCAGTTTGATGTAGCCCTTACTGCCCGAGCGGTCCAGCCTGGGACAGCTGAACCTCCGCGACCTTTCTTCATGACGTCCGGCGCCGAGGTCAGAAAGAGCGTTCAGGGACAGGTGGGACCCCAGGATCCTGACCCCAGGGCTAGGCTGCAGCAGCTGCTGCTGCTGGTGCTCTCTGGATCCCACTTGAACTTCACCCGAGAGTTTGGAGTCCTGGGACACTGACAAGGCTGCCCTTGACACTTCTGCTTTTGTTTGCACGGACGTGCCAATAAGCTCTCCCGAGCTCTGGCATGATGATGGCTGCAGTTCCTTTTCTGGACTGCAGGGGGCATCGCCAGCGGAATCTCTTTCTCTGGCCTCCATTTCACGGTTGTTGAGCTTGATCACGGGTAAAGTGAATGCGTTGACCGAGGAAGCGACTATGGAGCGGGTTTCCCACTCTTTGGGAGTAGGCGCTGGTTCCTCGAACCTGGCCTGGTCCCTGTAAATGCTGTATATTGTATCAGTGAATGACTGCCTCTCCCTTGACCAACTGCATTTCCTAGCACATGATGGTCTCCTGAAGTCCAGGCCTTTGCAGGACAGAGTGGAAGGCCAGGAGCCTCTGGAAGGCATAGAAGTACCATATGTGGCCGGTTTGTCTCCGGCCCTGGACTGCGAACAGCTGAGCAGCCCATTGAATGGAGAACAGTCTTTGGACCGCAGGCTGTGGATGTCGATGACCGTGGAGTAGATGTCCCTTAAGTTAATGATCTTGGTCTTCTTGTCACGGTTCTCGTGGAGCACGGCATTGGCGCAGATAAAGAGGAATATGCCGATGCCCATGACCAGCGGCCCAAACACTTTGAGGTTGTCTGGGTACTGGTAGTCGGTGAACAAGCCTCCCAAGAACCCAGCGGGTTGGGAAACAGGAGAAATGGGCTTGGTGGAGTTACCTGCAGCATCACTGTTATTCAGCTGTGTCTGCAGCTTATTATTGCTTATAAAGTTGGAACCCTGTTGAGAGTTTTTGTCCACATTGCCTGACTGTTTCGCCGGATTCCCTTTGGGCCAGTAGCCCAGGACAGCCATGGCTATGCCCACCATCAAGACCATCACTCCGATTGCTGCTGCTAATCCTGAGACAGAGCACAGGTTCAACTTGCCCTTCACCACCACCACGTCATTCTTCCTCTTTTTCCTGGCTTTCCTCCTTCTCTTGTTCTCTGCCCGGTTCTTGGCACGCAGCGAATCCTGGCGTCGGGAGATCCTCAGGAGGCCGCCTGTGGCTATCATCGTGCCTACTGGACGACGGAGCTTTTAATCACCCTGCAGGGGAACAGAAATATGTTGATAAGTTAAAAGGGAATGAATTGTTCACCTTATTCTCAAGGGAACAGGGTAGTCAGTCAGAAACTGGAAAAAATGAAGATGTCCCCGAGTTTTGAAAGCATTGAAAATGGACAAACGGGTCTGGAAAGATACTTTCCCACAAGTACTGAGTGACTAATTACCCTCTTCCCACCCTCTGCTTGATGTAATAAGCAAAATGGTTGCCATGAGAATGAGGTGAATTGGTTGATGTTTTGAAGACTCACTCTGGGAAAAGAAATGTGTGAAATAAAAAGAACTAGTGCAAAGAGAACAAGATAAACCTTTCAGCAAGTATATATAAAGAAGTACACATATACGGGATGTTATGGTAAGTGAAAGACAATTCCTTGGCCTTCTGCTTAAAGCCAAAGGGCCTGTCACCTTTAATAGAAAACTTTATGGGGGCATGATTGCAGAATTGCACATTCTGTTCCAGTCACTTGCACGCTTGAAATGTCACCAGTGCTGTCATGTCACGTGATAGAAATTTAAACAGACAGGGACTGAAATCTATATGTATAAGGAATGCTTAGCGTTTGAAATCCCATTTATATGTTATGACAGCGATGACCCTGATGACGCTCATTTGCCATTTCATTTGAACAAACTACCCTCCCCCACCTAAGAGCTCATTGAATGTACAGATGGCGCTTAATAGCTTCACAGTACAAGTGCATCCCCCTAGGATTGCATAATCATAACAAAATAATAAAATAAACGCTTCCCCGTAATACTGTGATTAGGGTTATTAAACAAAATTAACAGTAATCTGTACATTAGTATATTGTTTAGCTTGACTTTTTTGGCTATGTCTGTACAATTAGACAGGCAGTGAGCTTTAGCTTGATTATGAATTAGTGTTAATAATTGCGTGTAATGAGCATTAGCCAATTAACCATTTGCAAAAACCACAACTTATGTTCTCGCACAATTTATTGTGCTGCCCTCCCTCCCTTTTTCTTCCTCTAAAAGTCTCTATTTGTTGTGTTTTATGACAGGCAGTAGCACACTGACATATCCCCAAACTGCCTCATCGCATACACACTCCAATCAATAAACCAACTACTTTGCAAAGACGCCATTGCTTAATTGCGCTGAATAATGTACAATTCACCCCTGACTTTGCCAGTAGGTGATCCATTTGCCTAATCATTCATAATTATGTGTGGCTTAGAGTGAGGGTTCCATGAATAATTCATCTCGTAAATGTCTTTGGGCACAGCTGCCATGGCGCACTGGTTTTTGGAAATGTCAGGGCCTTAGAATGACAGTCTGTTGGGAGTGTGAGTTTGATTGTACTGGCTTAAACCCCTACTGGAGTGCCATAACAGGCCCAGGGGTTAGGAGCCTTCAAAAAGAGTCTTTTTCAACACCAATACCAAAAGGCAAAACAGCTTAATCATATTCACAATAGACTACACTGCACCATACATCAACACGTAGGACTATGGAGTATGTTCATGAGCATATTAGCGCAAAAGCGTAGCGATAGCTTTCTGAGCTCTTCAGTTTGTTTGAGCTTTTTGCTTTAAAGCTGCTTTCACAGATGAACAAAGACGCAGGTGGTCACTTTGTAGTTTCCTTTGCTGCATCTCAATGAAGTCTGCTCCCTTCTAAGACTTGTCACTCTCTTGTCTGAGGTGGGAAAATGTTTTGGAGGATCCAAATGTGCATGTATTATCCGTTCTACAGGCAGAATGAACTGTGTACAAGTTCTAGTTTCAAACATGCCAAAGTAGATTTCAGTGCTGTGTTTTCAGTTCTCATAATGTAATTTCTCATGTATGGTATCCAATTTTTTATACTGTTAAGCTATTTCCAGATATTACAACAGGTCAGGTTCGATTCCAGCTAGCAGTCACTCCAACACTGATGTTGCTCCCTGTAATGTGGTCTTACTACACTGTAACTAGTACAGTAACAGTAACTAGAACAGTAATGTGGTCTGTGGACTGGTCGGCCTGCTGGCCAAGCTAGCACAACCAGCCCTATGTTACTGTCCTAGTGGTACTTGAGCAGGGGTGCCCAGTCCTGGTCCTGGAGATCTACCGCCCTGCAGAGTTTAGCTGCAATACTGATCAAACACACCTCATTCAGGTAATGAAGACCTTTAAGGGAATCTGAATATTACAGTCAGGTGTGTTGGATCTCAACTGTCCAAGGTGGCAGGAGACCAGGATTGAACACCCTTGAGCTAAAGCTAGCGTATCTAGCAGGCTAACAGCTCCACACACCACAGGACAGGTTTGATTCCACCTAACTTGTGCTCCACTGGCACAACTTTAGACGATAAAGACTTAAATCTGAGGGAGCAACATTGAGTGACTGGTGTTGGAGTGACAGTTACTACCCAGTTTATTTAACAACTGTTGTTAGATGGATTGTTTTGTGCTAGTTTACATCAATTGGAAATCACTAGGGATGCACATTCGGACTCAGCCAAGATCCGAGTCTGTTGATTTTTGCTCAAAGCATGAAGCAGCACGTGGCAATTTGTTGTTTTCATTTTGGCAGATCTGTGCTACAGTTTTATGACTTAAATGTGAGGTAGGTGCACTTATGCTGTATTGGACTTGCCACTGCTACATCTATACCAAAATACTGTAGCATTATTATGCATGTCTCCTGCATGTTATGCTAAATAGCCAGCTGCCTCTTACTTTTGATGTAGCACCATTAAAAAGCAAGTAATATTGGCAATATTGGAAGTTTGGCTAATAAAATGAACTGGAAATGTGCTAGTGTGTTTTATGTGTTAATTTAGCCCATACAGTGTGAGCTTCAAATGTCAAAAAAATGTTAAAATAATCGGCTATCAGCCAATTTGGCTGTAAAGAAATAGGAATTGCAATCGGCCATAAAAATTCCTGATTGGTAATTTTGAAATGCGATCATGATTTTCAAATATCATGGGATATGACTGTTACACTGCCCAACTGTAGAAACAATGCCATGATTAATTAATTCTGAACAGAATGATCATTATTAAGTCATAATTTTACTGGGCGCAGGCCGTTTTATTGTTATATATAGATTGAGTAGGTTGACATTCATCAATTTAGCTCTAGAAAACATCTTCAATTTAGTTTCTACATGCAACTTTGTAGGTACTGGGACACGGGTGATGTTAAGATGTCAAGTACTGATCATGGTAAGCATATCGCAAAAGATTCATAAGAATTTGTTTAACATTCTTATTTTATAAATGTAGCATACTGTCTGTGAGAACAAACTGCTTCTCTCTCTCTCTCTCTCTTTCAGAGCAAAGGCAGAAGAACAATACATAGCACACACACACACACTCCCCCATGCACAGCCTATTCCACACAGACACACACACACACACACACACACACACACACACACACTCCCCCATGCACAGCCTATTCCACACAGACACACACACACACACACACACACACACACACACACACACATAGCAAGTCCATGCCTTCTTCAAAGAGCCTGAATGAGCACCCTCAACCTCACAGTCCTCGTCTTCAGAGAGTTTATGAGTTGGCTGCATTGCTGGGTGATATTTCGGTGGACCGCACACCTCCGTCTGTGAAGAGCAGCCTCTCGCCTCTCTCAAAAGGACATGCCTCTCCTCAGGCCTAATGTGTGTGAAAGCATGGAGGCCAAAAAACAATACGAACACACTCCCACGCGTGGTACGCATATAGCCAAGGCTGTTCACATAAACCTCTGAATCCATAAGCACAGTTCCCTGCTCCTTACCAGCCTTACATGGCTTTCTGCTCTATCACAGTCTTCACCTGTAGCCCACCTTAAAGAAATGGTCACATAGAGGACTCAGTAGAAGAAGAGCTTGATTACCATTTCAGTGCAGAGGCAAGAAAGTGTCTATATTTGCTTTTAATTGACTTTTCTCTGGGAAAAAAAGAATTTCTCCTTATTTCTCCTTGCTGTTGTCATAATACTGAATCCAATCTGTCTGAAAATTTGTAGATTTTAATATCCACCATTTTAAGCAAGCAAACATGAATAGGAATATTGTACACTTCACCTTTTATCGTTACTCCGAAGAACACAAATCAATACTAAGCCCTTAGTGCATCCAACAATAAAGGCAGCAAGGTGCTTTTTTTATACAGTGAAAGAAAACACAATAGCATACAGAAAACTCCAATTCCACATGCTGATCCATTTTACTATGACCAATGTGGACATGCTGGTGGCACAGCTATTCTGGGGCAGATTTTAATGAGTTACAGTGGACAAAGAGAAAAGAATGGCGGAGTTGGGCAAGACAGGGTTAAAGAGAAATTCCACTCATTGCTAAAAATCACTACAAAAATCCCTCACTCAGATGTAAACAAGGTTATTCAGAGTGGTTTGATGTGAAATGCTACATTGTAGAGAAATGTATTGTCTCAGATTTCTTTACTAATTCCACAATGCGTTTTCTTTGCCTTAGAACGTCCTGCGTGCAGTGTATCTGTAACTTTTTTGTGCAATAGTTTCCTGTGAGGGAGCCTTAAAAGGCATTAAAGGCTTCAGACGTCTGGGTCCTATTAACACCACTGTGAACACTTCTGACTTGTTAAGTTTCTCTAGAACGGAGCGTCTCACACCAAACCACCCTGAATGACAATGTTTACATGTTAACTGCTGGAACTGCCCCTTAACTCTGAAACTGCAGGCTTATTATTCACTTACTGTCCAGTAACTATTAACATTATTGTTTTTGGGCCTCCTTGCATAACCATGAAACTAATCTGCAAATTCTGTTGTTATGACAGTGAGGAGTTGAAATGTGGGCCCACATTATGGTGGAAAAGTAGGAGGGATGCCAACAGACTTAATAAAAATGGCTATATGCTGATCCAAGGCTTGTTGGACGAGACGAGGATGCTGAAACTGCGCATTATGAACAATATCTCACACCACCTCTGTGACACTGTAGTCAAACATCAGAGCACCTTCATTTCCAGAATAATCCAGCCTCGACACAGCCCTTCCTGCTAGGACTCTATATCATGCTGAATATGTCCAACAATTCAAAATTTTCTGCATTTATTTTGACTGACGCACTTCATTGCACTTCATTCTATTTTATTATATTTCCTGTTTTATTGATCATTTGAGTCTATTCTCTCTAGTAATGTCCTGTGGGATTGACGAAGTACTCATTAATCATTAATTCATGAAGTAACGAAGTTTCTATCTGTGTAGCTCTATTGATCTTGGAAGTTTTGGCAGTGCAGCATGCCGCTGTTTTCTTGTGGAGTGCACGTGTAGAGACACGCAGGTCCTGGAATGAAAAATTTAATAAGCGCCTGTGCATGTGCAGTACTGCCGGGCCTTCCGACCCAATTTTAGTTACCCATGCTCATTGTTCATGGTAATTTCACTATAGAACAGTCTGTGCTGTCGGCCAAATGCTGCATATTTAAAAACGACAGCAAGCGCAAACCACATTTTTTGTAGTGTAAATCAGTCTACTTACTTTTTGAGTTTCCTTAATGAGGAAGCTGGACTTAAACTCTGGGGTATAGATCGACAGTCTGAGGTCTAAGTGAACTTTCAGTTTGCTCTTACTGCACTTCTAGTAGAAAAGCCAGTCTTGTTCTGCAGATATGTGCAAGGTTTTTAGAAGCCCATGACAGCACGACTTAGAAAGAGACCATCACCAGAACAGAACAGCTGTGGTAGAGACTGAAGTACAAAGCCAGAGGATTAATCATCAGCTCTGCAGCTGACCCGTCCATAGGGGTGGGCGATATGGCAAAAATGCAACATTACAATACTAGACATTTTCAAAATATTTGAAAAGAGGTGTGTTAAGTTGGAATAAACAAAAAGAACCAATAATGCCACCCTGTGTCAAAAAAGTACAATCAAAAACTGAGTACAGTAACTTTTATTCATCTTCTCACATTCTGTACTGCACAAAGTCCAATCAACCAGATCTAATTATGCTCTCTTTGTGATGAAACATGCAGCTGGTCAGTGTTTCTGAAGTACTGAGGATATCCATGATATGCACAGAAAAATACAGTGATGTAACATGACATCATGATGACAGTACATATTGTCATATTATCCACCTCTAACTACCTATCCATGTACACACCATCTGTTGCTGGGTTGGACAAGCTTCACAGAACCAAATCCCATTCAACTTAAAGAACAGTTGTACTGAACTGTAGCGATCATTTGAGAGTGAAAACTTAAAGGTCAGTTTTTGTCATGTAATCAAGCTCATGTTAGCATGGTAGCAAAAGTCTAGTTGTCGATTCCAACCTGCCAAGTTTCAATCAGCTAAAATAACATAGTCCAGTTTGGTAGTGTAGCATGTTAAACTGGAAACTCAGCTTTATGCAGCCAAAAACACTGTATTGGTCCAATTTGAATAACATGCATTGAGTTTTGCAGTACAATTTTTCATTAGACTAATTGGGACTTCCCATTGTTCTGTAATAGTACTCTAGCCTCGCAACAGTTGCTAAGAATATTGTTGTAGTACTCAGGTCCTGTCTGTAAATTAACAGTCTCGGCCTTGTCTCAGCCTCAACATCGTTTTGACTCTGTCTTGCCTCATTCTCGAGGTAAGGTGAACTAGGATTGTTCTCGAGACCAGCTGTCTGAGGTAACTGGAAAATTACCTTTTTTTCTATCATTATTAAATTTCAACGAAACCTTTAAACAGATTAAAAATCCTATTGCTACACATTTAAATCAAATCTATTCTTTGAGGCTCTATTTGATCTATCCATGACTGTATAACTGGGTATTATTATTAGTTTATTTGACTTTCAGTGGTGATTTTGAATAGAGAATAACCTCACCCTCATTTACTTCCAAAGGTTACAATGTAATACTAAGACTAAGACTGCAATATAATAATAATTAACATTTTTAGTCTAGGTATAATTTAATGTTATAGTTAACAAAATATATTATAAAATGTAGTATGCTTTATGTTATATATCAGTTAGAATATCACGTATCATGGTCCAATAGAACATATAATAGGCCAACAGGATAATAGTTTAATCAGTAATTAATCAGTTTTTTCAGTTTAATCACTTTTTCCTATAGGCCCTTTTCACATTTCCGTGTTGATGGAAGTGCACATTGCAGGGTTATACTGGTTCCGCTAAAACAACAATAATAACAACGGTAGCCAATTAGAACTTGTACAGCTAACCTGAGTGTTTGTACTTCAGTTTCAATGGCCTTTCAGCTGATGATGAACTGAGGAAAAATGGATTTGTGCTATTAGGAGGGACGCAGGAATAAACAGAAGGGAAGTATCTTTGTGTTAGCATTTCCTAGTTGGTGCTGCAGCCACTTTCAGTGGAACAGTTTTCATTCGCCCTAAAAACTGTAATCATTTGGGACAGCAGGTGCTCAGTAGGGAGTAAATGTCCATTCACTGGAGCCTGTGGTTGGAAAATGTCTACAGTGGTGCTATGGACCATGACGATGCGACATGCCCCCCTGCCAGAATGTATGCATGCTTACCTTTTTGCCAACTAGTTCATTGTTAGCAAGCTGTTTCATCTCCAGCTAACAAGGCTAATCTAGTTTGTTGGTTATAGTCATTTTCACCTATCCATCATTTTATCACTCTGTAGACATTAGCTGATGTTGTTGTTCTGTGATAGCTGTAAAGGACTTTTTGCATGAAGAATGTATATCCTTTGTTCAACTTGGACTCCCACACTAAGTGCATTTACATGCACTTAATAACTGCCAAAATCCAATATTGACTGGATTATCTGATTATTAAAGTGGTCTTGTAAACAGCATGCTCTGGTTTCTTAGAACTGATTAAGGCCTGGAAATCCAATTAAGAAATCTTATAAAGAGAGCTGGATTTTAGCTCAGTAATCAGGTTTTTCAGTGCATGTAAACTCTTACTCTGATTTCTTTCATTTTTCTCAGTCTGCACATGTGCGAAACAGGCCACTGTCCTGGAAACAGCAAGCAGTGTTTAACACAACACCCACGAGATGGCAACACTTTAGTGACACTGAAACCAAATACATGCTTGATAAAATTAAGGATTTTAATATTCTTCATCACCTAGATCATGAATATTCATATTTTCCACAGAAGTGGTTCAATGTTTTTAAAAAAAGCTGTGGCATAAAGTTTGAGTTTTATGTTACGTTTACGTTTACATGTTCTTCTGTGAGCTTAACAGCTGGTTGCAGAGCAGAAATCCGCAAAAATTGCCTGCAGACCTAGAATTTCCCCATTATCTGATTACCCAAGTGCATGTAAATGCATTGAATAAACACCCATTGTTGTGTGTTTATTGTTCTCCAACAATTCTGGACACATCTTTGAATTTCAATATTGGCAACTGTGACACAATAAAGTAACATACCTTTCTATGGAGAGTTGAAGTGATGCGAACGCTAGTTTTTGTGAGGGTAATAATCGTCCACAAGGCAATAGCAGAAATTATTTTATCCAGTGTTAACGTATTTCTGTATCTTGTGAAAAGACCCTATATATCACCAACCCTTCACTGAACGCAGCATGCAAATGCTAATCATGACAGAACTTCAATATACCAATGAGTCCAAAATGCTGCTTAACTCAGCGCCAAAGAACATCGAGACACAGTAAAAATAAAGCCTCTAGTGTTTTCCACATAAACCACTCCCTACTTTTCACACATTTTCTCACAGCTGTCAGCATAGCTGGGTTGCAGGAAGGTGGAGTTTCAGTGTGTCTGGTTCAGCGCTGTCAGCTTGCAGAGAGGCTAATGTGTGAACACAGAGAGAAGAAGGAAAAGGTGTGAAATGAAAGGGTTGGGCAGGTGGTTAGACGCTTTGTTGCTTTCACATGCAGAAATGGGCAGCTGTTCTGTTTAGGCTTACTGCTGTTAGCTGAAGCGGCATCAGCCCACTGCGTATGTGTCATGCTGAACTAAAGCACTGGCCATTTACTTTGCACTACCTAAACCTTTGAACTGCAAGGACCCACATATAGGCCAACACTTCAGTTCCTCACTACATAATGTACACAAAATACATAACACAACCTGGTAGACCCTCAGATAAAACTGTGCCCATCAGATAAACAGCGCAAAAAGATTTCATCTTCGAGAGAGAGGAGAAATCAGGCTCCACTCTTACTTCATATCTGAAAAAACCCACAGATGTTTCTGTCCATCCTTCCACTGTGAGAAGACAACTCAACACTATGAGTCTGAGAAAAGGAAACAGACAAAAAAAGAAGAAAATTTGCAAATCAAACAAAGAAGCTGCTGGTGTTCTCAGAACAATGGACTGACCACCCCAGAGTCCAGACCTCAACATCATGAAAATGCTTGGAATTACTTGGCTCATGAGACCAGCTTTGGAGGTGTGGAAAAATATCTCTGCAGATTTCTTTGATAAACTAAAAGCAAGTCTCCCTAAAAGAATGGAAGCTGTAATAAAGACAAAGCTGAACACACTAAATACTAAAAACAAATGTTTGGCTCTGTAAGAATGTGTTACTATATTAAAAAATAAAGGTGACAACAGCTTTGAGAAATCATGCTATTAAAGGAGAAGGGCAGATTAAAAGGCAGACATCACTGATTTTTGCCTCAGCACAGCGTTAAACAGAGCACAAAGAACAATGGATTCAAAAATACTTGTTTACAACATCTGTACAAAGTGACTGAGTGGTAAATATGAGTCTATGAAGTTGAGTGAAAGAGTGAAAGATCACTCTAAGGACAGACTGGATGTAGTTTTGCCATGTAATCACGCTGCACTGTTTTTTTTAACCTGCTTACTTTCAGTTAGATACAATAACACAGTTGAGCTCAACAGCGCAGGCTTTTAAACTGTAAACTCAAAGTTACGTAGCAAATCTAAACTCCAACCTAAATGTTTTAGCAGAGCCATTTCTGAACATATGGAGTGTGACGATGCAACAGAATCCAGACGCTTGCGGATAAAAAATGTACACCAGGCTTTATTCGAGTGCGACAAAGAAGAGGTCAAAAAACATGCATGGATCGTAACCAGGAAGCAGTACAATATCACCGAAGTGATCATAACCAAAGCAAACAACACCAAGGGAGAGATCCGATATCGTGGTCAAAAAACCAGGCCAAAAAGTCAAAACACGTATCCAAAAACAGTCAGCAAAAGTACAAGAAGGGACAGGCAAAAATCAAGGTCAGTGAAACAAAACGTGGGTCATAACAGGTAGTGGCAAACAGATAATAGAAACGCTCAGCAAGTTCAAGAAGAAACAATACCTCGCAACGACTAAGACTAAAGCCCGGGCTTATAAACTATACTAAGTGGGTCATATGACAATAAACACAGGTGAATGTATTTAGTACTCCGGTGAATGAGAGCGCTGATAGGTGCGTGCACAACCCTCCACAGTCATAAGATCTCCCGAGGGGTTGTGGGCAATGGAGTCCTCCTGAGGCGTGACATGGAGGCCCTAAACAACATCTTCCTTGGGGTCCTACTCACCCAAATCATGCTATTTTAAAAAAATATTTTTTAACATACCTGTACACAAAATCAAATCTTTAAACTAATAAATTGACCAAATAAATACATAGTAAATAAAATAAATACAAATAAAATCTAAATAAAAATATTAAAGTAAGCCATCAGCTTTGTCATTGTAAAATATTTTCTCTTCCAACATCACAATAAACTCTAAAAATACATAAGTGTACGAGCCTACTAATAGGGATGCACCAATTTAGGAATTGTAGGCCAATGCCGATATCCAATATTGTACAGTCAGGTCCATAAGTATTTGGACTGTGACATAATTTTTGTAATTGTGCCTCTGTACGCCACCACAATGCATTTTAAAACGAAGCAATCAAGATGTGAACGAAGTGTAAACTTTAAGCTTTAATTTAAGGGGGTTTAAAACAATATTGCATTAACCATTTTGGAATTATTATTTTTTTACATAGTCCATCCATTTTTACAGGCTCAAAATTAATTGGACAGTTGACTGATAAGCACTGATGGCCAGATGTGGCCTGTCCCCCCACTATTTCATGACAGATTAAGGAGATAAAAGGTCTTGAGTTGATTCGAAGTGTTGAATATGCATTTGATAGCTGTTCATGGGAACACTCAGTGTGGGGTTCAAAGAGACATTGATGCAAGTGAAGGGGGCTTTTAGATTAGAGTAGACTGAAAAAACAAAATAAATCTATCAGAGAGAGAGCAGAAGCTTTAGGAGCAGCCAGATCAACAATTTGGTGCATTCTTCAAAGAATGAATGCACTGGCGAACTCAACACCAAAAGGCCTAGAAGACCACCAAAGACAACTAAAGTGGATGATCACAGAATTATTTCTGTGATGAAGCAAAAGCTCTTCACAACATCTAGACAAGTCAAGGACACTCTAGAGGAGGTTGGTGTATCATTGTCAAAGTCTACCATCAATAGACGCCTTCATGAACATAAACACAGAGGGTTTATATCAAGATGCAAACGACTGGTAACACTCAAGAACAGACTTTGCTAGAAAACATGTAAAAAGGCCTGCCTGGTTCTGGAACAAGATTCTTTGGACAAATGAAACCAAGATTAACTTCTACCAGAATGATGGGAAGAGAAGAGTACGAAGAAGGAAAGAAAGGCAGTGGAGGCAGTGTTATGGCATGGGCATGTATGGCTGCCAAAGAAACTGGGTCACTGGTGTTTACTGATGATGTGACTTCTAGTAGAAGTAGCAGGATGAATTCTGAAATGTATAGAGTTATACCTTTGCTCAGATTGAGTCAAATGCTGAAAAACTGATAGGTTGGCACTTCACAGTACAGATAGATAATGACCCAAAACAAACCACAAAAGCGAAAACAAGACCCCTTAAATGACCAGACCCTGCCGGGCCCAAAGTTTTATTGCACACTTACTGCACACTGTAATAAGCCTGGGATTTCAAGTCAAAGAAATGGCCGAGTTAGTCACCTGACCTCAACCTGACTGAGCATGCTTTTCATTTTCTAAAGACAAAACTGAAGGCAGAAGGACCCAGGCTCAAAAGTACCACAAACAAGCAGCAGCTGCAGCAAAGGCCTGGCAAAGGATCAGAATGGAGGAAACTCATCATTCGGTGACGTCTATGGGTTTCAGACTTCAGGCAGTTTCATTTCCAGGCTTTTTATTCGATTGTTCTGTCCTAAAACAGATTATGAAAAGGTACAAATATGTACTTTTCACCTGGAAAAACTTATTTAAGGACCTTAAAACAACAGTTGTACCTTTGAGGGAACATGTACATTGTTTGCACCTTGATGAATGAAAAAAGTACCTGCACAGAACCTTTATTTCTAACAGTGTAGATACGTAAAATGTAGAAATTGGGACAACATTTTCCTCAATTAGCAACATGAAGAAAAAACATTTATGTGTCCAATGCTGATATACATTTTAAAGAAAATATCAAGCAATATTAATATGATTCATTGTACATCCCTAGCATGCAAGAAAGGCTCTGTCTATTAGAGTGAATGTGAGTTTTTCTGTAAAGCTTGTAGAACCTAGAAACAGTTGATTTTGTGAGCGGAGCATGAAGTCTAGATGATTGCCGAGCAAAATATGTTAAGATGCATAACTGAATAATAAATCTGCTGTTTAAGGGTTAAACCAGAGCCGGTTTATGAGGAGCCTGGCCTCTTCCTATTTCCCTCATTACATAAAAAACAGGCATGCAAAACTCCAGAGGACGCCTGTGAGCGAGTTCTCAATGAATGGGGATAAATGGAGCTAAATAGACAAAAACGAAAAGTTTAAATAGTTTTTGATCACTTGCCCAGAACTTTCCTTTAATTTTAGAAAGTAGAAGAATGTATTTCACTAAAAAAGCAAAGAAAACTTACCTGTCTCCATTTTTCTACAGCAAACGGGTTTTGGGCAGCAGGACGCTGGCATTACTGCTACTGAGTGCTGACTGGCTGGCGAGCGGAGCAGCTCATTGGCTGTTCGTGCTCGCTGACGTCATGAACGTTCATGAGGCGCCGTTTTAAACTTCTATAACTCCTTCAAACGCGTTTAAAAATATAACAGCAGTGTTAAAATGTTTATGCTGTTGTGTGTTCAGGTAATGAATGTAATCTTTTATATCAAAAAATGTTTAAGCATTTCCATCTTAACCCATTCATTTTTACACTCGCTCTGGAGCGCCCTCTAGCGTTTGAGAAACCCGGAAGACATGACAGAGTGGTAATTCTCCTCTCTACAAGTTCTCTGGTTAAGCCACCAGAGAGGACCCTGTCCGTGGTCCTGAAGCCTTCAAACGCGCACATTGAGATTAATGGGATCCGCATGACAGGCTGCTATCAGAGAGTGGAGAGCTCGCATTAGGCTGAGCCACAGCGTTAAGTATATATCACAGTCAGATATAATGCGATTGTCGTTGCTTTACCATGCCGGGATTTTCATTCCGTTCTCTCATGATCTTCCGCTATCTGATTTCCGGGGATTAAACGCCGCAGCTAAACAATAGCTCTCCATCAGATTACTCTGCGGGGCTTTAGATCCCACCGTTAGCTGGACTGAGCAGTTAGTGCACTTGGAGATTACCC